TTACCTATGCTGCAAGTGCAACCGCAGCAGCTTCTGTGAGTTGCACCCACTCAAAATCTTGTCAGCACCCTCTGAACACATCATTAGACTCTCCGTTCCCTGCTTGGTTTTGCATTCCCTCTCTTCGGACAACAAATGTTCGCAGTACTCGATTATGGGGGAGGCAACTCCCTTCTTGCAGGTCTTGCCATTGTCATCGGTATACCGTTTCCCATCTGGATATATTACGCTGGCGAACGTATGCGTGCAAAGAGCTCTCTAACTCGTTGATTTTTCTCTCTGCCTTTGGTGTAATGTTATGATTATGATGAGATGGTAGATTGTTTAGTGTGAACGATTTTAAAGGTACTGCACATAAAGTAGGAATAAACAATTTATTGTATGAGTTGCTGATATAGGTAGTTGGGCCGTCAATGCTTGCCAGTGAGGCGTTGAATGACCTGCCATTTAGTCAAGTCAGTTTCGTGATAACTTAGTAGTTGTTGGATGAACATGCCCATGTGGTTGTTGATTCTCGGCCAACACCGGTACACTGGATCAGCAGCACGTCTCGTGGTAATTGGAATAGATTGATCGGCACTGAGAACTAATTTTTAATACGACGGCACTATAAAAGGACAAGATCAGATAGATTTTGGAAACATTTCGTGTATAAAGGAATAGCACCAATTGGGATGACGCTACTAGCCCGAACCTACATAACACAATAGATTTGCCACCCCAGATCCGGATTAACGAATAGTAAGGCGTGCTTGGTGAGCGAGCGGAGGGTCTGACCAATAGGATGGAACTCGTTGATCGACGGTTACACCGTCGATCATTATTCTTGGGAGTAGTTGTGCATAGATGAGCTGGCCGGAATGGACGATATAAGATGGAGGGTCGGGGCTCGTGCGAGCCGTGGGAGACTATCGTTGACACTGGACTTTCGAGAGCCCGACCAAAAAGAACAGCTTGCCTAAAACATTGCTGGCGCCGAAGTCGAATGGCAAAGACAACTCCGCGTCGCTTTGAGATACCGGCAAGCACAGGTTCCCACCAATTCAAATATGGTGCTCCGTTAAATCCAAGACTACATATTTCATCGAAAACGCTCCTTGAAAATGATTCCTGTAATCAATGATGCCCTGGGCCGTAGGCAATATAGTAAGATAGTTCTTTCTAATGAGAACTGAGAAAGCCAACTGAGAGCTTCAGTTTTTTCAGAAGTTGAAGAAAACAAACCTCTATGGCTAAGTTCTAACTCTCAGCTTCTCCAAGTCAATCAGACTTCAAATCCGCATGAATTGTCCGCTGAACGTATTTATGACACTGTTGTAGACCATGGCAGCCTGGATCTTCAAGTCGCTTGCGCATCCAAGCTCAAGACTCATGTACTCACGGTGCAAGGACTCCGCCACCGGCATAGCTTGAGCTGCCGGCATGACCAAACTCAGCCAAATTCGACCACTTTCAAGTGATCGTCTCTTCGCCTCACACATCTGCCACGCCGACACCGACATAGACAAGGCAATGCAGGTTTGGTAAAAGCTTCACCAGTGAGGATGTGCATGGACAGCAACTTGCCCGGATACAGTGCTAAACTTTCGAAACAAGCACTATAATAGACCAGGAAGATGTCGATCGCGTACCGAAGAATATCAGTAAAACAACCTCGTTAATGCACTCCTGGGAAATGCTTGTACCTCTGTTGGACTGTACTCAACGTCTGACCTCTACACGATCCTGATTATCAACTTCCTCGTCTCAGGACAGCAGTGATCAAAATGATGTCGTTTCGAATCTCGATCAGATTCCAAACGAATCTTGTATTCCCGTATTCAATGATGCTCCGCTCCAGGCTGTTGAGCTGTAAAGAGGCGGTGAGGTGATCGAAGGCTGCGAGTCAATAATGGGCATCACCGCCAATTTGAGCCGAGGTATGTGCCAAACTGTATCACCACGAACACATGGTCCCCTTAACTGATATCTAGCCAAGGAGTCTGAATTATTTGAACAATTCTGAAGCTAGCAGGTCCAGAGTATGGTACGGTACTCGAATAATATCGAGTCTCGCCTTCCGATGTCGAGCAGGTCGTCAGTCTTCAAACGACGAACGTATCAATATGTTCTGTCTCTTCCGTAATATCCATTCACATTCCAGACATGACTCATCTCTTTTAAATATCATCGTTTGTTGTGAGGAGTGTTACTCCACCGCTACGGAAACAAGTAACATCGGCTTTCATTACCGACCTGGAATCTACGGTGACGTAGCTATATGCAGTTTACTTGTGTCAAGGTTATTAACACAGAGATCAAAGATACAATCTACCCCTTCAAACGATGGTGCATGATCAAATATCAATGAGTGTAATAGTTGGATTTCAATTTGATGTCCGAGGGTCTGCAGTTTACAGATACAAGTAATCACTGTATGCACCAGAAATGTATGCAAAGGAGAAATAAATGGATACAGCAAGTACCAAGTAAAGTAAGGGCTACAGACGCAGATACTAGCAATACATAAATAATCAGCATCTGCTGATTCCTGAAGTCGCTTCTATGGTAATAGACATACCCGATAACGATAGGACGCAGAAAAACACGAAAGCAACGCAGCAATGAAATAAATAATATATCTTATGTGAGATCAGACCAAGGTCCTTTTTGGCTCAATACCAACACTAACAGTTGCGCAGCTCAGAGCACCAACCATACCCCGCTCACAACAACACCTAGCATAACGCTCATACCACCACACAGACTCCTCGACGCGCCGTTAGTACTAGTACTGCCAGCAGTTGGCGCCGTCGTAGCTGTACCCGACGCGCCGTTCGTACTGGTACTGCCAGCGGCTGGCGTTGTTGTAGCTGCACTCGACGCCTGAAATGACATGCAGCATCAATATCACGGTCACAACAAGAAAAATGATAAACACATACGGATGGAGATGAGACTGCTTGAATGACCTGAGGATCAGGATCCGGGTCTGTGCCCGTGCTGGCAGTTGTTGATGTGGGAACCGCCTCAAAGGGCCCAGAAGATGTTGTGACGGCATCCAATGCATGCAGCAAAGGACGACCGAATTGCGGCATAGCAGAAGCTACGATTATGGGGTGAATACAGGCACTAAGAAACACGACGGCTGCGCGTACTAGACATCGAGAACAAGAAGAGCGCCATTACGAACGCTGAGATGGCGGTGATGAACATCGAGCGGAAAAGGAACATCATCTTGGCTTGCAAGTAGGGTTGAAAGAACGAATGGGTAGGAAGAAAATAAGTGAGCGGGCGGTAGAGTTCAAGGTATCGTCGCCGATGGAAGCTCTGTTATAAGAAGAGAGTGAAGGAAGGCGGCTCTGAGGCTTGTAAGTACGAGCAGTTACTGTGCAGTTGGTATGCTGGCACTTCCTGACTCGCCTATATATCCCCGGTGCCCGCTACAAGACGCGTCATATAGGGAAAGTGCTATCAAGATGGATGCCATCGAGGTAAGGCACTGCGACTGTGTTCGAGGGAATGTCCCTGCCGATATTAATGGGACCAGACAAGAAAATGCCATGGGTACACTTACATCGCGGAGTTGCAGAGCCCATCAACCCACAGTCTTTGTATTAGTTACCAATATAAGCTGATTTCACGCGGGGTGATTCACATGCCGAATACAAGGACTTGCATAATTTCTGCGAAGGTCTTGACAAAGTGAGTCCCAAATACGGAAACAAGGCTACGGTGTATATGTTTGTGCGTGTTTGGAAAACCTTAACCCTAGATCATGGTTCATTATTTCATACGAGGATGATCTAGAGCAAGGCGAATTGATAGAGCCACAAAATAAGGTACTAGTAAGCTAAGAGTGCGCACTGTAGGGAAAATAAAAGGAATATACTCAATCGACATCATCTACCACTCCCCCCGGACAGGACTGAGAGCTATTTATGGCGATAAACGTTACGCCCCCAGAATTACTCGATAGATTACTTGATTGGCTCGATGGTTGGGAAGTATTGGGGGCATATGGTGGCTTTTGCTTGTTCTTTGGCCTTGCAAACTTGCGCCTCTGCTGTCTGCAGAAATCCCACAGCGCATCAAGGGCGTCGCAGAGGAAGACTTTACTTGGATTCTCAGAGAGCCTTTGTCGTTAGTTCAATCAGTTGAATCTAAGAGATGAGCGGGGAGGAACCCACCGTTCAGTCATCTCATTGACTATATCTGGCGCACCCAAGAATGGCATTATCTCGATGATCACAGCATACATCTTCAGCAATACCGACATCCCTCCCTTGATTGTCCGGCCTGCTTCTATCCAACCCTCGAGGCGCGCCTTTAGGTTTGGACGGAAATCTTCCCGCAGGTCATCCAGATCCGGATCATGGATATCTATGTCGATGTACCCGAGTGGGTCGGCATCGTCCATAGCCCCTTCCATTCCAGGAGGGAGAGGAAGCCCCATCATGAGCGCCGCCAGTGCCATCGGATGGGCAGTTTCACTCGTAGGCGATACTACAGCACCCACCCAGCGGTCAATCCGCCCTCGTCGCCCCAGTGCCTCCAGACGTAATGCCATGATCTCGGTCAGCTCCGTCTTATTAGCCTGAACATCGATATGACAAAATGCGCTCCGTACGGCGGCGCGGATGGCGTGCACAGTGTCAAGCAGCTCTTTCTCGACGATACGTAGTGCATTGAGTTGGTAGGATGATTGTGTGGCAAGTATTATGGTTGCAAGCTGGTGTGCGGGCGCGTCGCGGGGACGCAGAAGGTGAGAGTGACTGGCGAGTAGGGTATTGATATTATCTGTATGTGAATGCAATGCACATATATGCAGTGCTGTGGCAAAATTCTCGGGGCTGCAAGTGGCGATACGCATGAGTGTAGGGAAGAGCTCTTCGCAAAGATCATCTTCGTCCGTTCCATCCGCTTCAGATATGTCGCCGATACTTGCAAAAAGAATTGGACTGGGCATGGTAGCAAAGAGAGAAATGAGAGACGTGCGGATGAGATTGCGCAGGGAGATGCGAACGTCGTTGAACTTGCTAGACCAATGACATGCGTGGAAACCACAGGGACATCGAGCATCGCTACAAGCGGTGCCATCGGAGTTTCCGTCAGTGTCAGTGTAGTCTTCACTGTAGTCATCGTCATCTTCGTCGTCATCGGCTGGTGCCACGGTGTAAAGGTCATCACAGTTTAGTCGAGTCAGTGGAGCTTACGTTTTTTACCACCGTAGAGTAATCGCTCGAGGGCGTTCCAACCGAATTCGGCGCGAATATCGTCGAGCATATCTGGAATGGCAGATTTCTGACGCTTAGTGCCATCGGCAAGCATGACTACGAAAAGGTCGCGCCAAATCCAAAGCATGACACGCTGGAGATTGTGTGCGCCAGTGAAATGAAAAGACTTGACGACCTTGCCAGAGGAACGTCTGATCTTTACAGAGATGTACATGTTCATAAAGGAACACTTGCACCTGAAACGATATAAGCAACACAAACGAGAATATGATGACACCTTACCCGACCCGTGCGTTACCGATCTGTTCGACCGCTTGAGACACGTACAAAAGACAAGCATGGGCCTTTGAAAAATTTGTACCGTACTCGTATACGACTCTCCATATATCATTGAGCCAGTCGATGACGCTCTCGATGACTTCTGCGAGAAGTTCTTCTTTACGAGACTTTTCTTTCACGTAAGAACGCTTGTGGTCGCGAGCGAGTTCGTCCAGGAGTGAAGCAATCTCCAATTTCTTTGCTTTCAGGTTCAAGGATGGCATGCTGACATATCTTTTGTGCATGCGTGCTGCTGATGCAAGAGTGCGGTTTGATTTCTCTTTGGAAACTACATCGAGGAGCGGTGCAAGTGAGCTCTCGACAAGAGCATGCTGTGCATCGACTGGAAGGGATTCGTAGAGTTGTAGAAACCTAGAATAATAATGAGCCCCAACAAATATTGATGAACGTAAAGCTTACTTTGCACTGGACGCCATCAAATGCGATGATGAGCTCGCACTGAGACGTCTTCCGTAATGTGACATATGCGCGTGACGATCATAATTGTGTGACCTTGTTTCCATTCTCCACGATAATTCGAAGCTGCTAGAGCGGCAGATTCAGACTTTTGGTAAGTGCGACAATTATGTTTCTGATTGAATTACAGTAACGGTTATGAACGTAGGAAATATAAACAATCATGATACAGCTGGCAGCGCTTGATAGCGCCTTCTAGCACAGGAATGAAATCATGATGTGCTCAGATTGGACCCGGACCGGGCGTGTTCCTTGTCAGGCTTTGCCTCGAGGCAGCGCTTCCTATCACGGCCCTTACCCACCCCTACAGTCTGCTTGCAACGCAGCAAGCCACGTTGGAAACGCGCGTACGTTTGAACTTGCGGCCACTTGCGCGTACTCTTCAACTTGTTATCTTCTCAGATCTAACCTCTGCTTTCTTCCACCATCAACAGCGAACATAACAAGTCATCGCGAGCTCTCATATAGCCCATGACAAGTACACAGTCCCCACACAAACAGAGAAAAGTTCAAATGTTTTCCGGTGTTCAAGGTTTGTGCCATTTATTTTTTGCTCTCGTGCCTATTGGTCCCATCGCAGCCCAAGTGTGGATCATCATCAACCATCATGATTAGTTTGTTCCGGGCGTTCGTGCGTTACCGATACACTCTTCACATCGTCTATTTTACGTCTCCTACAATAGTCACGCTTCTTTCATTGTCATTCACTAGTCGTATCACAACGCTAGCGGATCTTCTCTTATTCAATAACCACTCCAAACCCCAAAACTGACCCTTTATATCAGGTTCATCCCAGAACACACCACCTCGTGAAATGTCCCCATCTCCGAGACAAAGGACGATCAAAGCCCAATCACTTCCCGTCGTACCCTCCGTCATGCAGATTTACGGAGCAGCAACTCAGTCTGCAAATCAGCGCCAGCCACAGCAAGCGAGTCCCACCACTGCAAACATCTCCCCGCAGTCAAAACGAACTTCCCCGCCGCCGGCCCTCACGCAAGCCGCACCCAATGTGACTAAACTCCCATCTCCACTCAATCAGCCGTCTCATCTCCGAGAAGAAGCAATCCAGGGACACTATTCTCCCTCGGGTTCTATGCACCCGAACATGCATCAAGCACCACCTCCCCCTCCCCAACATTCGCTCAGCCAGCCCAACGTGCATCAACCCCCTCCTCTGCCCCAACACTCACTCAGTCAGCCCAACATCCACGCCCACCTCATGAATCCACAAATGGGCTACCCACGCCCTATTAACAGGGTGCCTCCTCCACAGTTCTTAACACACTTCCACGCAATGGAAGAGAATTGGCATATGACAGAAGAGCTCATGGCAGAGATTGAGCGAGCAGACTATGCGCAGGCCCTGAGTCAGCAGCCGCCCGTGCCTGGAATGTCTGGGGTCGCCTACGCCGGTGGCGCCGCGAGCGGCGCCGTGTATGTACGCGAGGTGCCGTCACCTCTCAAAGACCCCGTCGGTGATCGTGTCCGCGCGAATGAACGAACCAGTCCAAAGGATGCAGACGCTCAGGGGAGCGGCGGCATGCAGCGCTCCCGCTCTATCCGCGTTGTTGAACGCGAGAAGGAAGTCCAGCCGAGCGATAGTGCTCGTGTACGCGAGCGTTCCCTCCCATCCAGTCAGACTGGATCTCCGTCCTACTCACCCTTGGGACACCCCCAGCAGCGTGTGCCCTCTCCTGAGCGCACTTCTCCATCTTTCCACACGCCTACTGGCTCGTCAGGTGGTGAGAGTGTGACTGCAGTGGACGTAGACTACGTCTCATATAAGCGGGACTCGTATCAGTCTAATGGAAGCTCTTCCCTTAGGCTTCCCAGTCCGCCGCCCACCGTGCGGAAAGCCATTGTCGCCGACAATGCTCGTGTGACGCCACCTGCGGTCAGCAAGTTTGCCAGCAACACTCCTCCCTTGCAGGCCGTTAAGACCCGAACTCCCGACAAGTCACTGCCTGTCCAAGAAGAACCAGAAGACGATATCGCAACCTCTAAGAACGGCGACAACTATACTCACGGGAATGACTATCATGAAGAGGATGATAATGATACTCTCATCGAAAACGACCACGATTTCCCTGTCGACAGTAACAGAGACCACGACGGAGAACTAGAGTCATACACCCCACGCTCACCCACTGCCAGCTTACCAGAACTATATCCCGCCAGGCAATACCACGTGCAGCCCGCAAA